TTGCAGCATCTCCAGTGCGAGGCGCCATCTGTCTCTGAGCAACTGCGTAGAGAACGTGACTCGCTGCAGACGACCGTGAATACCCTACAGCAGCTGCTGGCACGATCCAGCAGCAATGGTGGGGATAGTGGGGACGGTGACTCGTTGCGTAACGACATCATTTCCACGCTGCAGCAGCTGTTTGCTCAGCAGCGCGATCTTCTCTCGTCGCACACCAGCAGGACGCCATCTGATGCCTGGCTCAAGCAGCAGAGCATGTGGGAGAGCGAGCGACTGCTGCTTCATGCCGAAATCAAGCAGTTGCAAGCATCGCTGGACACGTTGAGGCAGGAATCACAGCAGCACGCAGCTGAGCTGCAGGCCAAGCTAGCCAGCGCTCAACAGCATCACCACAGTATGGATCTGAGCAGCATTGAACAGCTTCAGGCACAACTAGCCAGTGCTCTGCAGCAGGCTGCTCTTTCTCAGTCCAGGCTGGCAGATGAAAAACAGGCCAGCGAGGATTCACAGGCCCGCGTGCAGTCGCAGCAGTCTGAGCTTCTCGCGTCTCAGGCACGGTGTCGAGATCTTGACGAGCAACTTGCAGTCTTGACACGTTCCAACGCTCAGGCTGCACTACAGTTGCGCACCGAACAGCAGCGCGTTGCTGACCTCCACCGTACCCTGGACACGGTGCGGGAAGAGGCTAACCGGACGGCTAGCTCTCATGGTGCCGGTGAGGCCGCTCTGAAAGCCGCTCTTCAGGAACAGGCTGTGCACATCGAGGACCTACGAGCAAAGTACAACGAACGCGAGTCCACCCTGGAAGGCCACGTGGCACGTCTTCAAGATGAAGTCTCTCTGTTCAGTCAGAAAATTGAGTTGGCAGTATCGGCAGAGCGTGAGCGTGGTGAGCAACTCTTGGCGCAGGAAGCAGCTGGAGCGACGGAACTGCGCCGCCTGCTGCAAGAAGAACGCAGGCGTTCGTCGGTTACTACGCAACGGCAGCATGGTGCAGAGCAGGAAGAGCTGCGGCGTTTGTCCGAGCAGCTGCAGTCTTCGGAGCAGCGGCAGCGTGACCTGCAGGCACAGCTCCGCAGCGAGCAGTCCACAGCACTGCATGCCAATGAAACCATACTGCAGCTGAAGGAACAATGCTCTCGTCTTGGTACTCAGGCATCGGAGCAGCAGCGCCTGATTGATCAAATTCACGCTGACTTGAGCGAGAGAGCTGCCAAATGCCAGTCACTGGAGAAACGCTTACGTGATGCTGAGCGGCAGGGAGACACCGCGGGACATGAACAGGCTCAGCAGCAGTTACAGTCAGCCTTGCAGGCAGTACAGGCTCAAGTCAAGGAGCTCACTGCCCACCTGGATATTGAGCAGAGGACGGTCGCAGAGCTGCGTACCAACGAGCAGCTGCATTCGGCATCCTATGCGTCGCTGCAGCACGACAAGGAACGACTGGAGACGCAGCTTGCCAGCTTGCGACGCCAGCTCAAGACCGCTAGCGATGCTCTCGCAGCACGTACCGCAAGCCAGCCACTGCCGCCGGCAACTGAGACGAGCGAGTGCTTCCAGTGTAGGGTCACTGTGCCTCGTCTGGAACGCCAGCACACCGACATGTCACAGCTAGCTGAACGTCTGAGTCAGGAGCGAGGTCGTCTTCAGGACGAGCTCAACCAGGTACAGGAGAAGGAAAGGCGCTTGCGTCGCGACTACCAGCAGCTGCGCGCCACCACACAGGTCGGCGATCAGCGCAGCTCTGCCGAGCAGGCCGTGTGGCAGAAAGAGCGGACATCTCTCTTACGACAGCTTGCCGACCTCAAGTCACTGTCGCGCTCAGCGGATGTTGATCTTTCCAGGAACTACGCCCGTGCAGAGCGATTCCGGCGAGAGTTGTCTTTCCAGAAGCAGTACCTTCTGACGTTGTTGGGCGGTTTTGCTGACTGTGAGGATGTCGTTCTTCAACAGGTGGGTGTTGCTCTGCCTAGAGTACGACCGCGCCGTCACAAGTCTGCTGTGCCGAAGAAGGCGAAGAAGGTCAGTCGGTTTGTTGTGGTGGCGCGTTGTGCAGTTGCTGTGTTTCGAATGAAGCACTTTGTCCGCTCACCTCCGGTGCCACGACCTCTGCCGGCACAGGTAATTCGCAGCACCGACCGTCTTCTCGCCAGAGAAGTGAATGCTGAGGCGACGACATCTTCGTTAGCAAAGCCACGTCATAATCACCGGCACACATCATCACGGCATCGCTCCAGTGCAAAGTCTGCATCCTCGGCGAAGGTGCCCGAGTCCACTGTGCCTCCGTTCATTCCGGAAGCCGCGAGTGAAGTTGAATCTAGTCAGAGTGATGCCGCCTTTAGAGCGCACGTGCAGCGCCTAAATCGCCTGCAGGACAGGCTGAATTCGGTGTCCGTGCCGACAGCGGGACCCTCTCATCGTACGTGATGACTTTGCTGCTTCGATGTGTGTGTATGTGTGTGTGTGTGCGTGCGCGCGCGCGCGCGCATGTGTGTGTGTGCGTGGGTGTGTGTGTATGTGTGCGTGTGTGTGTCTGTCTGTGTGTGTCTGTGTCTGAGTAGCTGCTGGACAGTGTTCACACCGACTGCATAGTGTGTATGCACTGTGTAGGGTTGCTGGTGGCATGGCATGTCCAGACTACAGTGATCCAGGGTACGTGCTACCAATTCCACAGTCTTTAGGATACTCACGTCCTAACTTCCATTGAATTAGAGAAACTGACACTGCTTACACCGCTGGAAGGTGCGAGCGTTTTCTTTCCGTTTTCTTTCTGTAGCTGCGTAGGACGATGTATGTTTTGGTCTTTCTGTCTCTTTGCAACGCCTGCTCTTTGTTGGCCAGCATACTTCTCGCTGTCCTCCCCAAATAATGTCCAATGGCATGCACATGCGGTGACTGCTTTGTCTGTTTGTGCTGTGCTGGTCAAATAGGAATTTGCTGAATCTTTTCTTTTTTAAACAAAACCTGCTCTTTGGACTTTGGTTGAGATGATTATAGGAATACACTATGTGCGTTGATGTCGTCTTGAGTGCCAATTTGAGAAATTTTACTTGCCACTAGCTCTCCCCGCTATTCCCCCCACCACCACCACCACACCGCCACACCACCACACATACCGGTATGCATCAATAATTACCTACATATTTCAGGTACTTTCCAGCTATTTTGGTTGTCAGCTCATGAGATATTATATTCCTTCAGCCGCCAGCGCTGGTCTATCCATATAAAGTTTCTCATGCAAAAAGGGGAAAAAAGTGTTCTCAGATAAAGGAGAACGCTATGTACTACATCTCATGTCATACTGTTATGTCCACCCATGATGATCTGATACTCACCGTGTTTTGTTCTCGTCCGTGTTCTAGACCACATACAACACATGCCTGCTTGGTTTTTTATTTTTATTTTTTAATAGTACTTGTGTTAGTTAGACTGTGTGAATCTGCACATCTTATTCACCGCCAGATCTCTCTGCTTACCCGGTATGTGTCTTCACTACTCGGATATCTATTTTCAGTCGCTAACGAGTTTCGAACAGAGCGGCTTCCGACAGTGCACTGTGAGCTGGCAGGCTTGTGCTAGTGCTGTGTGTGTGTTGCCATGGGGTTGGCAGGATTTGTTCCACTTTGTTGGTGTTTGTGTAGCTTGCTCATAGTATATTCGGGTACATGTACGAGGTGATGATAGCGTTGCTACAGCAGAAATCATGGCAACTCGACCCTCTCCCACCACACACACACCTTGGACAAGCTGCCATATTCTGGCTATGTTGGGGGGGGGGGGGTTGACCAAGTTCGGAACAGTAGGGGCGATGACGGGCAGACAGACAGACACACACACGCGCACACACACACACCTTGGACCTTGGATACACTGTCATATTCAGGCCAAGCGGACCACATGGGGGTTGAGCAGGTTCGGAACATTAGGACTCAAATAATAGGAGCGATGACGGGCAGACACACACACACATGTGCACGTGTAGACACTGTTCACACAAGATTATGCAGACAGAATGGAAACAAGTTTATCCAATGCAACTCATCAGCTTCAATATCAGCAGACTGTCCCTCCAGGAAATCGCGATTCCACGGATGCAACAAATTTCGCGATTTTGGCCCAAACCCGCGATTTTCAGCAAAATCCGCGATTTCCCGCGTTTTTTGTTAATTTCTGCACTATCTCACATTTTTATGCACTTTTCACGCAGTTCTTTCCATGATCCTGTAGGTTATTTGCACAGTACGACTCCCGAGTAGATATACGATGCAACAAATTTCGTGATTTGGCCCAAATCCGCAATTTTCTGCAAATAATTCCGCGAATTCCTGGCAAGTTCTGCATCATTCCGCCCTTTTCGTCGCATTTTTTGTTACTTTCTGCCGCAATTTCTTGCGCAAGTTTTCGAGAGTTTTTTCCGCAAATTCCCGCAGGGACAGAGCAGACAATAAAAAGAACTGGGAACTGCCTCCGTTGATCAATTCTCACGCACACAAGTCACAGAAGAAAAAAAACAATAATATATTGGTACACCGGACGTGTTCCTAAAATTTCCAAAAAATAGCCTGGAAGAAAGCACCCTAGAAAATACAGAAAGTTTCTAATTTTGATTCGTGTTGGTACCTGCCAACACGAAAAGTCTAAAGGAAAAGATTGAAGAATTCACTCAAAGTTTTGAGAAGAGATTAGGTCTAAATCTGTAATAAAAGCGGCAACTTTTGATTGTGTCTCGATCAGGGTGTATTTAATGGGCCAGAAAAGTACATTAGAAGCTGGCAATGACCTACAATAAATGAACTTCATCCGAGGATCCTTTAGTCATAGTACGGCGGTACGGAGAACAGCACAACTCAGATCAAGTGGCATTCCAATTACAATTACCTGATCTAACGTGACATGTACTGAATGCGACCACGCATTTGCGCTGGTATTTCAACACACCTAATTCTGGACGGTTGAGCAGCACCAGCCAAGTGTGGGATACGACATTCTTTTGCAGCTGCTTATTTGCGCGGCTTCCACCCTAGGGGTCGAGTGAGCGGTGGAATAACGTCAAACGGTTCTGAGTCTAAATAGCAGGGCACGAAAACACTGTCGACGGCCGTTTCAATCTCGGCCATTTCCAGATCCGATCGCAGCGCCTGCAGACTGCGGATAGCATGTCGCCGGGCGCAGTCAACACCTCCCTTGTGTAGTCGCCATGGCATCATGCCGGCAGCCGTCTGCATGAACTTGGACACTGTCAGGCTGCACTCGCCACTCAGGGCAGCCGCACGCACCTCGCTGCATGCCCAGTGTGGCAGATACGACCAGTTGACGTGCGCTCGGCAGTGGTCGTACGCATGTACCAGCTCATGAGCCAGTACTCGTTCCACCTGCTGTCCGTTGCGCACTGCATTCTCACACACCACGGCCTCAGCACGCTCAGCATCAAATCCGCCATTCAGTCCTGGCTGATCGCATCGCTCACACAGCAAGTTCACACCAATGCGCATTGGACAGCCACGGCTCTCCAAGGATTCTAGCAGCTTGCGAATACGTGAGTTTGTCTTCATCGCAGACTCTGCCCAGGCAACACAGTCTGCGTGCTCCCTTTCAGGACTACGATTTATCTGGGGTCCATCCATAGCTGACTTCCAACTTATACCGTATTAGTTCGCTTTCCATAAGTCATTGCAATTCACCCAGCAGCACACAAAACTATGATGAAAAACAAGGTGGAATTTGGAACACCTTGCACCATCTCAGATCAGATCAGAGCTTCCGAAAACTTCCTCCTGTACACTTCACAACCACAGTGGCCAAAATCAGGAGGCCCTGAAAATCAATCAGCCATTCAAAATAATGACAGTGATTTGAAAATGCTCTTCGTTCTAGAATTCTGTTCATCATGTAACCAATTCATGTTTGCATTTTCTTGTCCTTTCAACAAAATTTCATTTCAAAAATTTCCGGGCACGTGCCAGAATCAGCCGAGGCACGTGCACCGGACCCGCGTGTACAGTGCATGCATGGTCGAGTTTCAAATCAAACACACAAGAAATAAAAGCCCAGAAGTCACAAAAGAAGTACAGTGTGGCCATTGACTTGTCTTTCTCTTGTTTGAAGGCTTCGAAAACTGTCCAAATGCCACTCGACTCCGTCTCCTGTCATTTGAATGTGACGAAACCGTGTCCAGTGTCTTGCTGTCTACTTTCGCAATGTGGAACAACACAGTCGCTTTGTTGTGGTGGATTTTCACTCCAAAGCCCAAAGGCAAAACATTTCTCAACCCAGAGAAAAAATCCCAGCCCACAGCCTTTGGACATGCAAGTTTGTTGCTACTTCCTGAATTGGCCCAAGTAGCTACAGGAGGCAACCACGTATAGTTGGCATCCACCATTACGAAACGGAGATGGACTGCCCTTTTCGCTGTGGAGAGAACTTCGCAGATAAAGCCGAGGTAGGTGCAAAGGTTATTCAGTATCATTATGTTCCGGCAGCTCTGCATTTCATTGCATTGTGCCTACAATGTAGGTTATGCAGAACACTGTACTCTATGTAGTACGTGCTCACTGCATGCAGACAGTGCAAGTAGCATCACGTAGATCTACGCACACTCAGTTTACAACAAAAAGCGTGTCACCAGGTCACAGCCAGCCTGAAACTCAAGGGAGCTAGGAGGTGAGGGGGGGGGGGGGGGGTACATGCGTCACGGTTGTACAGGTGTGGACGACATCCTTACATGATGAGTCAGTCATGAATCATTTAGATCTGTATCCAGTAGTTACATAACTAGCCACATTGAGGTCACGGCTGTCTTGTTGGACCAGCACCTGTAGATTTGGACTTTCTGATTGACTGTGTGTTCAACACATCTGCTTGTGTGTGGGAGAACGGTGACTGGTGGATTGGTGGTGGCAAGTCACACAGTAGTATAGTGGCGCATTCCTCCTTGAAAGTGAGCGTATTGCCAGGCTCTGTTGGTTCGGTTATGGTACAGTCCTGTATGGATGCCATCAAGGCTTACACATTACCGTGAGTTGAGTCTGCTCGCTTGTTCATGCGTACTGCTGAATACAAAGGGCAAGTAACTTTAGTTTTGGTGTCTTTGACGGAGTGTATTGTTTGAATTTGTTTCAGAACATGACCAAGTCGACAACAGGAAAAAAAACTCTCACGACGTTTCCGCCAATCTCCTCTACCACTCTTCTCCACTCTGCACAGTCTGCGCACGCACAGTATCAAAACCCGGCCATGAAAAAGCCCACGCGAAAGCAAAGAGGATGTGACATTCAACACTAAAACATTTAATCAAGAAATTCCACCGCCACCACATGCGCTCTCTGGCTGACCTCATCCCACCAGCAACATAGGACCGGCGGAAGCAGTTTTTGATTGATCTGGCCATACCTTGCCTACCTTGCCTACCTAGCATAATATTATACTTTGTATATGATATGGAGGGTAGGCACATGACCTCCTCAGCAGTAAACACACGCTGATGGCCAAAAAGTTAGTCCGGCCATGGCCTGACCACCCGGACCGGTTCCGTCGGGCCTGCAACATGACTCCCAAGTTGTACACAATACACACTTAGTATCACACTACTACGCTACCGTAAAATTCCGTAAATAAGCCCACCCTAAATAACGCCCATGTCCGATAATAAGCCCAGTTTTAGGCGGTGTACACTTCAAGTCCGTTTTAGCGCCCATGCCCGAAATAAGCCCAGGGCGTAAAGTGGACTCAAAATGACCAGCACGCGAGCGTACCTGTTGTGCCTTGTACTTACCATAGCAAGTGGTTTACCTATCAAATCTGTAATTTATCGCTACACTCTTGGTTACGACCAAATTTCCAGCTGTGGTTTGTACTTGTACCGCGCTCAGTGTAAATGGTGGTTCACTGAAACTAGTGGGTTGCTCATAGATTGATCTTCTGCAGATTGCGTCCGAAATAACGCCCATGCCCTAAAATAAGCCCATGCCCTAATATACGCCCTGTTTTTGACGCTCTGCAAAGTATACGCCCAGGGCTTATTAACGGAATTTTACGGTATTTCACATTGCTCCTTCGTTGAATTTTGGCTGCATGGCTGCTCCCACGATGGCAACTGGCAGCTGCTAAACTTCAGTGAAGGTTTGGTTGTGAAGCTATTCTTGAGTGTTAAAGTGTTTGAGTGTTGAGTGTTTAGTGCATCTTTTATTCATTCAATTTCTCTATAGATTGCGGCACACACTGGCGATAATGGAAGTTGCCCCCTGGCTCCTGTGCAATGCGTATTCAAGGGCATCGGCAATGGTGGCTGTCCTGCCAAGGTACGCACTGTTTTCTTCTTCTACAGTAACTTTTTAAGCACCTTCGCTCATATGATAGAAGAGACCAATATCTTCGTTTTTTACTGCTCGTACATAGACCCTCTAGTTAAAAGAAACCAAAACGCCGTGTCAAATACCGGTAGCAGGCATTATTATGTCCGCTGCTGACTCATAGAGTCATAAAGCTCGAACTAATTGGGTATATCTTAAGCTTCTATATCGGTCCTGGCAAACTCATTCTCTTCGATTTCCTCGCGCCATCAAGGCTGAGGTCCGCGAGTGTTTCATATACCAGTTGGAAGAGCCTTAGTCATCTCAAGCTGGAGTTCAGATTGTACATCAGGGTCATTAACTAACTTAGTGGTGATCCTTGGCTCCATAAAAGTACTTTTCTTGTAGTATTGGCTTGAAACAAAAGTTACCTACTAAATGTACTACTACTAGTGTATCCAACCTATCACATTACTTAGCACTCAACCAAGCCAGGCCTGCCCGTTGTCGACTTTATATTTGTTTTGCTGTCAGATGATAGCCTAGTGCATACACTTTTTTTAAAGTTTCAGCAAAACAGCTAGTTACCTTCTCCTGTATTTCCGTGCACTGCTCTGCACTCATGAGTCATGTGCCTAGAGTACTCTTCCGAGCTGCCCTGGCTGGCCCTGATTGTATTCGGGTTTTTTTGTACAATAAGACGTTAGTGTTGTGTAACTGTAAAGCTGTGCGTCATGTGCAGGTACAGCCTGTTTCCTGCGAATGCCAAACATGCTGCCCATGGTGGTTCCTCTATGCATGCTGCCCATGGTGGTTCCTCTATGCATGTTGCCCATGGTGATTCCTCTATGCATGTTGCCCGTGGTGGTCCGGACCTTTCCTCTATGCATGTTGCCCATAGTAGTTCCTTTATGCATGTTGCCCGTGGTGGTTCGGACCGTTCCCCTATGCATGTTGCCCATGGTGGCTCCCCTATGCATGTTGCCCATGGTGGTGCCTCTGTGCACACTCACACCAGTTGCATAAATGCCAGCTCATTCGACGCCATGGTTTTGTCTGCATGCGACTGAAGACGGCAGCTTGCTTGCTCAAGTTCCTCTTTGTGAGCCATAGACTCCTTGCCTGCATGTGTGCATGCCTGCATCCCTAGACTGTCTCCATGGCTACCGTGTCTAGCGTCCTTGCCCTACCTAAATACGCCATCCTCTGTCTAATGTGCCGCTGTTGTTTGCAGCCACAGCGGCGGTTTCTGGAGGCGCATCTCACGAGATCGTCCGCCACTCACCAGCGTCTTCTTCTGGACGGCTTTCATCAGCTGCGGCAAGGCCAGACGCAGCTTCAAGCACAAGTGGAACGGCTAGCTGCTGCGCATGCTAGTGGTGGTGGGGGTGCTGTGAAAGTGTCTAGTCGGCCAAGTTCAGCCAGAAGGAGTGCACCGCCCGATGCGATACAAGAGCTGAGTGATGGCTTGGCCACTGTCCAGTCCAACATCACTGCACTAAGCTCTCAACTCGGCGATGTCTCAGGCCATTGCACCAGGCTGCACGGCGAGGTGTCTACAAACCGACACAATCTACACAAGCTACAGATGACCCCGGTGCCTGTCGCCGCTTCTGCTGCCACCTCTGCCGCGGACTGCAGTCGATGTGACACGTTAGCAGTGGAACTGCAGCAGCTGAGAGGCATAGTGCTGGATATGGCGGGCAGTGCAAAGCCGTGCAGCAAGTGGTGTGTGCAGGTTGATGTGCGCATGCACGGCGACGGACGACTGGAGCTGGTGGGTAATCCGTCGAGTCCCTGCCACTGGTCTGGCCCCACGGGATGCGGGCATCAGGTCTACACCAGCTGCGCGCTTAAAACGCTGGCTCAGCTGATCGGTCACCGAGCTGCGCCAAACCAAGTCGGACTGGCTGAGCTGGCCATCAATGTGATTGCCTCGAGCAGCGACTGGCCGGAGAATGCCCAGCAGCTGTGCATGGCCTACCCGAACACTCTGCTGTCCATGACACAGTCAGCTGTCATGACTCTTCCACCTGCTAGCACTGTGGTTAGTTCTGTGAGCAATGCTGATGCTGCTGATGACCGGGCCGAGTCCATGCAATCTCCAAAGAGGTACACGCTGCAGACCGTCGGCATTCCCATCCTGCTGCCACCTGAAGCGGAGCTGGGCGCCACCCTGGACTGGTCTTATGAAGTGCAGCTGTGTGCAGTCTGGGCACACAAGACCGCTTGACAATTGATCTCGATGCATGATATCCGTGTGTGCATGCTCTCTTGAAGCTCGCCAAGAATCAGGGATCGGTCTAGCTTGGGGGAGGTGATAACACATTGTGTACACCACCGGTTACTGTAATATTCCTATCACAAGACCATACAGTACCTCTTGGCGTCATCACATTTCTGCTGCCAAGTGTCTTGCGCTGTTGAAGATGTTGATATGATTCCTGTTGTACATGTACATGTATGTACTCCAGTTTGAGCTGGTTCTCGCGTGGCAGTGCTTCCCTGATAACCGGGCAGGCCTAGTACAGTTGTAGGCTGGTCTAAGATCAAGATACTGTACAGGCAGACAATTTCGTCGGTCAATAATTTCGTCCAACTCCTAAGAAAGGGATTTCGTCCGGTTGAAAATTTAGTCCATTGACTATAACAGTGTATTGCAACGCTGGACAAATCGACATTCGCCCGTCATTTAATTTAGTCCCAAAGCTCCGTGGACGAAAAAGACGAAATTAAATTCCAGACGAATATTTCTGCTTGTACAGTAGTGAAACAAGAGGTACCCGGTTAAAGTCCTGTCTGGGAGCGGTTTTTCCATCCATGCTGCTACCCGCAGTCAACCGAAAGCTTGCGACCAGGCACGCAGGGGGTGCATGACATGACTAATAGTGCTAGCCGTACATGTACCAGTCAATGAGTTGTACTGTAAAAGCCATTATTCTAACGAGGCGCATATATAACGATTTCCCAAAATTGACTAGTTTACGTGTACCAAAGGTAACGATTCTCACTCATTCTCAACGCTCAATAGGACAGTATATGTAGCGATTTCTGTATAACGGTTTCTATTTTAACGACAGATTTCTCCTCGTTAACTTGTTAGAGTTAGCACTTTGTTATATATATGGCTTTTACAGTACCTAAACTGGTTTTGATACGACTCTCTTGTGCCACCAGCTGTGAGTTCTTGCAAGTATCATAGCAAGTATGTGCAAGCACACTCGTTCACCGTTTGTCGAGGCTGCAATACAGCCTCCAGTGGGTTGCATCCTGAACCCCGAGATTGTGTTGTGTGCTGCTGATCATCACCTCAAAGCTTACACAACTTACAAAACAAATGTCGTGATGTCTATTAGTATTAGAGGTTTGTCACAGTAGAATATTACAGCAATGTCCTGGCATGCTTCCTGCACTTTGATGTCTCGCTATGCACAGCAATATGCTCTATATGATGCCGATGGCAGTTCATGCAGGACTTTCAGACCTCACACATCCACGATGGGCCTGTCGATGTCTTGTAGTTGCAGCAAAATAAAGTTTCAGAGTTCACTTTACAATGATACAATCATTTCATTGGCCAGCATGCATGCAGCACAGGATGCCTGTGTGAGTATGTGTGATGATTGTGAAAGCATGAAACTCCAGAGTAGCGACTAACTAGCCTTGATGGCCCCTTGTTGTTCTGAGTGTATGTGATAAATAAATGCAAGCAGCAATGCATGCAGTGAATACAGCAATGTACACGTATGTGTGTGATAAATAAATGTCAGCCACCCATGTGTGCACTTGTGGTGCTAGAGCACCAGTGAGGTACAAGAAGACCGAGTACGTGCAATACAGAACACGCTATGGCCTATTGTTATTATCATAGCGTACTTTAGTCACACTCACAGTAATATATGAGCCGTCAGATGTGAATAGGGGGCCAATCGTCATTTTTTGTCGAAATTTAAAAGTTATGCCATCGGTGTAATCGATAAAATTTGAATCAAGATTGCACTCTTCTTGAAGCGGCGGTAATTCCACGGCTAGCGATGCACAGTATCTTGTCAATTTGCTCATTCACTCATACTTTGTTGAGGGATTTTGCACACATTCATTCAAAGAGACATGATGTTGACCGAGATAAGCAGGATTTGAAAGTCCTTGGGCAGGTGTTGCAGCTGTTCAGCAAAGTCATGATCAAGCTATGCAGCTGCGCTTCAGTTCTTCGGAGTTAGTGGACTGCGGAGTTGGTTGATGAGCTCGAGTTCCGAGTCTGATTTCTTGTTCAAGTATTGGGGTAGTTCAATGACACAACCACGGTCTTCGTAGCGCTCACAGTAGTCCAGGATGTGGCGAATACACTCCCTCTCGTTTGCCTCCTCAGCCGCTTCGTCATCTTCCTCCTCTTCTCCGTCTCCCTCTTCTTCCACATCTGGCTTCGTCATGTTGAGGAAGTCCACCAATTCATCCGAGATCTGTCCGCCATGACATGCCGCCGTGCGACATGGGTTGTTTGGGTTTTTCATGTCAAAGTAGCACAGTGGTCGCTGCATGCCACAGGGCAGAACATATCGAAGCAGACAACACATACCGTTTTATCTCCATTATAAGTCCCGGGCTTATATATTTTTTTCAACCAGTCCGGACCCCGGGCTTATATTAGAGACTAGGTTTCTACTAGAGACTGGGCTTATAATTTTTCAACCACCTGTTCTTCCTCTAAATGTATTCCTCTTGCACAGGTGCCATATCCCGTCCTTTCCCATTCTTCTGCCCACACATGTACCTTGTAGTTTTGACCTTTCTTCTTACTTCTCTCCACTCTACGTATCGGGAGTGGATACTTTGGAGTGGATACATGGAGTCTACTGTTGACTGAAGAACAGTTCGCAGGGTCCACATGTAGCCTTGTAGGACATCTAGTCTATGTACACTTGTGAAACTCGAGGATAGGCTTGTACAATACTTCTTTGAACCGCTGTTCGCATTCGCTGTTTGAACCACAGTGCAACAGTGCTGCACAGCACCGGTGGCACCGTGCAGTGCAGATTCACACCCATCTTGCACTAGCAAAACCGGAGTCGAAATCGAAGTCGGAAAGTCACAGTCTTTTTGTTTCGAAAGCTTTCAGTTTGTTTCCATTTTCTTTTTATTCTTCACCACCAATTTCCAACTTCTGTCAGTGTGGCAGGTACATGTGTGAAGCGCTTTCACGAAACGAAAATTGGAGATTTGTTTTGAGCGACTTCTTCCAAGCGTCATGATAGCAGGTTGTTCAGACAACTCTTCGAGCGCTGACGCTGTGTCGGTGCCCGATTCTGTCGACTCTGGCGGCGAATTCGCTTCAGGGCAGCCCGAAATTGTGGACTCTCCGAGAATCTCCGACTCTCAATATCAGTCTGGAGCGTTGGGGGAGTTGTCGTCACCCGAGGATGGTCCCGGTTGTCTTGTAGAAGGTCATTCTCCGGAACCTGCAGCGCGACATGAAGCCCGTACTCTTCTTCAGCAACTGGTTGACGATGGCGGCATTTTGTGAACGTTTGATGATCCGGAAACAGGGAGACATGCAAGGACTGGCTGGTGCGCAGGGCTCGTGGCTGAAGTTGCCAGTTTCCGCTAAGTTCAAGGGAAATTTCAGCTACTGCAGCACCATTTCCGACCACCTAGGAGGTTTACTAGTTCATGCACACGGTATGGCTTATTGGCGATGAAAGTACGTGGCCATACGCCAGTACGTAAGGCTCAGTTGCTACTGGCTGGAAACCTACGCCTGGCTGACCGTTTCCAAGCGTGTGAGTGATGGGTTTTGTTTCACATGCACATAGTTTGGAGGGGAGGGCAACAAGTTTGGCCATCAGCTAGGTCAGCTGTTTTCTAGTCGCCAGCAACTAAACCATGGAGCATCATTCTCCCAAATATTGTGTGAACACCAGTCTGAACCAGTATCATGTATTTGTTGCAAATGCTGCATACAACACAAAACCTTTAGTTTACTCAATCTGCGGGCGGAACTGTTTCGTTCATTGTGGACTCGTAAGCGTAGCACAGATGCTGTATTTATATATTATATAAATTGAAACAGTGTACTGATTTTGCTATCAATTACACTCTTCTGTATTGTATATTGCAACTACTAGATATTTCGTCTAGCCTCTCGTGGAATAACATGTGTTATCTGTATCAAGGACCTTAAATACATCTAGACTTGGTTGGCCATTGGCCAAAGATATCCAGTATCCATACAAATATTGCCCGAGCTACACCACTGGGCACACGTGCATGTGCGCACACCCAAACACACACGCGTGCACACACACACACGCACACTCACTCATACACACACATACACACACACACACACACACACACACACACACACACACAGATGCACTGTGGTAGGCTGGAAGTACACACCACTTAAAATGTACATGCACTCACATGCTCCATGTCAACATCTGGGTTTTCCGTCTTTAAGCGGCCCTTGCCAGTCAGCTCCTCGCGCCATTGAACCCTGTCTGTTTCGAACGGGAACTCACTCATTAGCTTGACCTGTGGCCACCAGGCAAAGTGTAAAGTGAGAAAGTGCAAAGCATAAAGATTCTGGTGAAAAAGGAGAAGGACAACATGTTACGAGTTATGACTAGCTGTCCACCAACGTAACCAGATCTTTTTCACCATAATTTAATTGGCTCACCATCCGAGTTGAACTTTGCACATAAAGATTCTC